GTGGAAGATCATGCAGAAATTCGGCTGTCCGGAGCGATTCACTCAGATGGTGCGTCAGCTGCACGACGGTATGATGGCGCGAGTCACGGACAACGGAGCTGTCTCAGAGGCATTCGCAGGGACCAATGGAGTGAAGCAGCGCTTTGTGCTGGCGCCTACCCTCTTCAGTCTTATGTTCTCTGTCATGCTGATGGACGCCTTCCGCGACGAACGCCGCGGAATCCGAATCGCCTACAGGACGGACGGTCATCTCCTGGATCAACGGCGCATGAACTTCCAATCGCGTGTATCCACTGCCACCGTGCACGAACTCCTCTTCGCCGACGACTGCGCCCTGAACACCACCTCGGCCGAGGAGATGTAACGGAGCATGGACCTATTCTCCGCCGCCTGCGAGAACGTTGGGCTGGTTATCAACACGCAGAAGACGGTGGTGATGCACCAACCGCCGCCCAACTCAGCCACAGGCCCCAACGCGCCGCCGCAAATCAGCGTGAATGGGACCCAACTGCAAGTGGGAGAGAACTTCCCGTACCTGGGCAGCACCCTCTCCCGCAACACCAAGATCGACGACGAAGTCGCCAACAGGATCTCGAAAGCCAGTCAAGCCTTCGGCCGCCTCCAAAGCACAGTTTGGAATCGTCATGGACTTCAACTGAGCACGAAGCTGAAGATGTACAAGGCCGTCATCCTGCCGACGCTACTGTATGGAGCGGAGACTTGGAAGGTGTACACAAAGCAGGCACGCCGACTGAACCACTTCCACCTCAGTTGTCTTCGTCGCATCCTGAGGCTGAACTGGCAGGATCGAATCCCCGACACTGAAGTACTGGAGCGCACGGGAATCCTCAGCATCTACACCATACTGAGACAATTGCAGCTGCGCTGGAGCGGCCACTTGGTGCGCATGGACTACGAGCTACTACCAAAACGACTCTTCTACGGAAACGTCGCGACGGGTTCTCGTCGTCAAGGAGGCCCAATTCGCCGTTACAAGGATACTCTTAAGTCCTCCCTGAAGCGTCTGCAAATCAACCCGACCAACTGGGAGGAGCTCGCACTCGACCGACCGGCCTGGAGGAGGACAGTTAAGACAGGCGCTGCGATCTACGAAGCCAATCGCATCGCTGCCGCCAAAGCAAAACGCAAAGCCCGCAAATCATAACTTCGTCCAGCACGAAACGCCGCCGCATAACCGCCTCCAACGTGTCCTCGATATCAACAAACTTCATTCCGGGCTCGAATCGGACTTGTTGGACATCTTCGGATCAACTGCTCCTCTCGGACTGCCCCAACCATCGCCCCCCCGCCCGCCTCTTCCTCATCCTCTCTGCCGCCAACTAACTCTGTCACTCCTTCTGCACCACCACTTCCATCCTCCTCCTTCTCCTCCACTGCCCCAGCGGCGGCCGTTCAGACTGCCGTCTCACACATCACCAACCCCAACACAACAACCGACATCACCTCTCCCACCTCTCCCGATTCCACTGATGAGGATCAGGATTACACCTGCCCTCACTGTGACCGCACCTTCACTTCACACATCGGCCTGGTCGGTCACTTGCGAATCCATCGCACAGAGACTGGCGAACCAGTGCCTGGAGCACCAACCTACACCCACCGCACTCGCCTCCACTGCCCAAAATGCCCTCGCACCTTCACTCATCGCATGGGTCTATTCGGCCACATTCGCATCCACGAGAGCGGAATTGACCGCAGCCTTGACACACCCACCCCGCCGAGCCCCACACCCAATCCACCACCTTGTGCACCCACTAACCACTCCCCAGCCGACATCGACGCCACCGACCTTACCACCCCTCACTCCTCCCCTTCCTCCTCCTCTTCCTCCATCATTGCCACAACGACGGCCACTCTGGTGTCTGTAGCGCATGACTTCACCACAGCCGCACCTGACACAACAACCGGCACAACCCCTGCAACCTCCATCATCAGACGTGAGGGCCAGGACTACATCCGCCCTCACTGCGATCGCACCTTCACCACGCAAATTGGCCTGGTCGGTCACTTGCGAATCCATCGCACAGAGACTGGCGAACCAGTGCCTGGATCACCAACCTACACCCACCGCACTCGCCTCCACTGCCCACACTGCCCTCGCACCTTCACGCATCGCATGGGTCTATTCGGCCACATGCGCATCCACGACGACCTGCGGTAGACAACCGCCGGTCACACCACACATTCCCTCACTCCCTACCTCCTAACACCATCACCCCACCAGACATCAACCCCCACACACCTCATGCACTCAACTGCCGCCTCCCACGCAAGTGGGAAGTGTGCATCTCGACTCGGTCCCCATGCGGTTTCGGCTGCACGGGTGACTTGTGTCCGAGACTATCCCGACACGCCAAGTGTCGTGGATAGGAAGGTTGCTGATTGAGGCCCGCTCTCGGTTCACGCAGTTCGTCACGTTGTGTGTGTGTGTGTGTGTGTGTGTGTGTGTGTGTGTGTGTGTTGTGTAGTGGCGGACTGGTGGGCTGGGGATGGGCTGAAGCAGCACCTACCACGGCCCTCTCACGCAAGTGGGAGACACGCCGTTCTACCCCCGTTGTGTGAAATCCTGGTGTTTGTGTGTGTATGGGGGGCCAGGTCGTGCTGTGGCGCGCGCAGGCATGGTCAGTCGACCATGTCAGCCACCGCGCCCATTCCCCACTCCAGTCTACTGACCGGCTCGGACATCGGCTGGGGTGTGGGAATGGGAAGGCAGAGTGAGGTCGACGACTCAGCGCACTTCTCCTCACTATAAACAATCTGACGCGCTTGAAGCTATCACGGTGCGCTAAAAGCCGTGGCTTGGAAGGTTGCCAACTGACGGGGTACCTTGGACCTCCTCCTTAACGGGAGGCGGTCTGAGAGTCAGGCTGCAATGACTCCTTTTTAATGTGGCCTTTATGGCACTCCTACCACAGTGTAGGATCCGAGCCAGGCGTTGGCGGCACGCCCAGGTGCGGCTTCGGCCGTGCCAGCCTCCAAATCTCTGTTGTGTTGGTCGAAATCCTGGTTATTGTTGTGTGGACCAGGGGGTGTGGTGGAACTCATAGGTGAGGATCCGTCCGAGCCATCCACCTGCGGCCTCCCTCGTCTCCGGTCTTCTTGACTCTGTCTTGACACCGGGCCCGGGGGGGGGGAGGAGGAGAGTTTGTAGGTAGATGCTACGCAAGTCCACTGGCACTATAAACCCCTGCGCAAGTCTCCGTCCCTGCTCCCGCCGCTGCTGTAGTTGTGGGGCACACGGTGGTCATCGTCGAAATCGACGGACGAACTGTCGTGTGTGTGTGGATTGTGGGTGTGCCAGCGGTGGGTTCACGTGATGGTCGTGATGGTTTTGACGTGATCTTTGTATACACAATGATTCGGGTCTGCGTAAGGTACGAGAGAATCCACATGTTTGTTGATGGAGCAAGTATCTGAATACAGTTCTGTCCTTAAGTTTCCTGGGCTTAGATAATGGCTGCCCGAAGGCCTCATTATGTGTGTGTGTGTGGGGTGTAGGGGTGTCCAGCGGTGGGCTCACGTGAAGGTCGTAGTGGTCACTCTCTTGCTTGCAGGTGAGACTACGCCTAGCGTCCACTTGCTGGCACTCAACTCTCACCTGTGGCTCCACGTAGCTGGGCTCTAATCAGCGGCCACACGCCGGGCAGCCGCTTCGACCGGCGGGCTAAACCAGGTGATGGGGCCTAGTGCCTGTTGTGCCGCGTGCACAGGCTGTCGCGGACTCCGCCGCATGTATGGTCGGATGGAACCTTGCGTCGGCACCGTCGTGATGAGGCTCGTCTGGTGCGCCGCTGGACACCCAATGACGGGATGGATCTCCACATCTACATTGCCTTGGTGCGCCCACAAACGCCGTTGGAGACCGCGGCTTACGGGAAATTCGGGTCGTTCTCCATCACGAACAAGAAGTCGTGGCCCCATATTGGAGTTCGGCCGCGCCAAAACGGCACATGGGCAGCAATATTCAGGGGTCGCACTGCCTACTCCACGAGGGGAAGGGCCTAGAAAACGTGTCCTAAACATTGCTGGGCACAACGCACTCTGTAAACTAGCCAGTTCCGCAGATGTCAAAAACATGGTCGAAACAATAAAAAGAGAAACCACCATAACAATAACAACAACATCAATACTCGCTCACCTACTCATTCTACCTATTCTTCCTCTTCATCTGCCCATTCTCCTGCCTATTCTTCTCCTACATCGTCTTCTTCTCCACCTCCTTCCCGTCGCCCCACTCGTCGTCACCAGACTGGCAGAGTGAGTCCGCTCACTCTGGCAGCCTAGAATGTTCGTTCCCTTTTAGACAATCCGAGGAGCAACCGACCGGAACGGAGGACGGCGCTAGTGGTACGAGAACTGGCGCGCTACAAGGTGGACATCGCCGCACTCAGCGAGACCCGATTCTCCGAACAAGGCCAACTGGAGGAGGTGGGTGCCGGCTACACCTTCTTCTGGAGTGGTCGACCCAAGGCAGAGCGACGTGACGCGGGTGTTGCCTTCGCCATCCGGACCGACATCGTGGGACGACTGCCCTGTCTGCCGCAGGGCATCAACGATCGCCTGATGAGCCTCCGTCTGCCTCTCCGGTGTGGAGGCAAATTCGCCACCATCATCAGCGCCTACGCTCCGCCGATGACCAGCCCCGACGCCGCACGAGACAAATTCTACGAGGACCTGCACGCCCTCTTGGCGACTGTGTCGAAGGCGGACAAGTTGATTGTCCTTGGTGACTTCAACTCCCGCGTCGGCACAGATCATGCTGCCTGGAGGGGAGTGCTGGGTCCCCATGGTCATGAACGATCGCCTGATGAGCCCCGTCTGCCTCTCTTAGCCACCCTCTTCAGTCTTATGTTCTCTAACATTCTGATGGACGCCCACCGTGATAAACGCCGCCCCATGGGATCCGCATCGCCTACAGGACGGACGGACAGCCTCTGAATCAACGGCGGATGCACTTCCAAACGCGCGTATCCACAACCACCGTTCACGAACTTCTCTTGGCCGAATACTGCGCCCTTAACACCACATCGGAATAGGACATTCAACGGAGCATGGTCCTCTTCTCGGCCGCCTGCGAGAAATTCGGTCTGGTCATCAACACGCAGAAGACTGTGGTGATGCATCAACCACCGCCACCCAACAGAGCCAATCGTCCCCAAAACGCGTCGCTGACGCCTCCGCCGACGCCTCCGCGGCCGCCGCAAATCTGCGTGAACGGAACCCAACTGCAAGTGGTGGAGAACTACCCGTACCTGGGCAGTACCCTCTCCCGTAACACCAAAATCGATGACGAAGTCGCTCGCAGGATTTCGAAACCCGGTCAAGCCTTCGGTCGACTTCAAAGCACAGTTTGGTATCATCATGGTCTGCAACTGAGCACAAAGCTGAAGATGTACAAGGCCGTCACCTACCGACGCTACTGTATGGCGCGGAGACCTGGACGGTGTACACAAAGCAGGCGCGCCGTCTGAACCACTTCCACCTCAGATGTCTTCGTCGCATCCTGAGGCTGAACTGGCAGGATCGCATCCCCGACACTGATGTGCTCGAACGGACGGGAATCCTCAGCATAAACACCATGCTGAGACAAATGCAGCTGCGCTGGAGCGGCCACATGGTGCGCATAGACGACGAGCGGCTACCGAAGCGACTCTTCTACGGAGACGTCGCGACGGTTTTTGCCGCCAAGGAGGCCAAATTCGCCGATACAAGGATACACTGAAGTCCTTCCTGAAGCGTCTGCAAATTGACCCGACCAAATGGGAAGCGCTCGCCCGGGTCGAACGACTTGGAGGAGGAAACTGAAGAAAGGCGCTGCGATCTATGAAGCCAACCGCATCGTCGCCGACAATGGGAATCCCGAAGCACGATAATCACAGCTGCTGACTGTCCGCTCCGCAGACGAACAACCGCTTCCAACGTGTACTACATGCCAACGGGCATTTCGGGGACGAATTGGACTACTTAGACATCTTCGAATCAAATGCACAACTCGAACTGCACCAAAAATCGTCCCCCGCCGCATCATCCTCGTCCGCACCGCCGCCTAATATGTCTGAAAATTATTTTGATACACCACATCCTCCACCTCCTCCTGCTCCTCCTGCTCCTCCTCCTCCTCCTCCATCACTTACTTTACCAATTCCTCTACCTCCTCATTCTTCTCTATCGTCCGCTATATCCTCCTTCTTCTGCTCCTCCGCCTACGGCTCCTGCGCATTTTACTCGTTTCCTCCTCATCCTGCTCTTGCTATTCCAACTCCCTATCCTCCTCCTCCTCCTCCTCCTCCTCCTCCTCCTCCTCCTCCTATTCCACATACTCTACCTACTCCTCCTCGCCATCCTCATCCTCTGACTACTCTTCTTTTCATCCAAATTCTCCCCCACAAAATCCACCTCCACATTCTGATCCGAGAACTTCTCCTACTCCTTTACCTCATACTTCTCCTTCTTCTCCTCATTTACCTACCATTAATCCTCCTCATCCTCCTCCTTCTGCAACCTCCAATGCACCCTCCTACTCCAAATCGTCTATATCTTATACCCCCTTATCCTATATATTCTCAGCCTCATCCTCTTCCTCCTCATCCTACGACTCCTCCTCCTGCGCCTCCTCCTCCTGCTAATCTGCCTCCTCCTACTCTGCATATTCCACCATTTTCTCCTCATTTTCCTCCTAT